CTCAATTAAATCAACTTATCCAAAATATCATATAATGTATTGGACAGATTAATTATTGTACTTCATTTAGTCTTTGTTTATATGCCCATATTAAACAATAATCAGATTTTGTTTCGTCTATATTTAACAATAATCAGATATTTGCAAATGCCCATATTTCATATAACAGAACAAAATTCTAAATTTTCTATTTTCCGAAACTTGGAACATAACCGTTATGGGAATTTGAAGTGGGTCAAAATTATTTCGAAATTTTCGACATACTAACATGATGTGATGGGGGCGGGGATGTATTATGCCTGTCGGTCCGTCATATAGGTCCAAATTTTAAATTTCCCCTTTTCCCTAAATTTGGAACATACCTGTATATGGTAATTTTAATGGGGCCAAAATCATTTCGAAATTTTCGACATACAAACGTGGGGTGGTGGTGGAGTCGAGGAGATTTTAATAAGGTTTTTGCACGCAACCACATTAAATATTTATTTTTATCTATACCCATATATTTTAAAATATTGTTGAATATGGGCTAACTGATAGTTCATCAGACGAAACAGGTTATATTATTTCTTAACGAATTATATAATTTTAGATAATAAGGGATTTTGATATATATTCTTATTTCCCATTGAAAGTTTTTGTTATTGTAATCAAAATATCTGATGTTAAATTAAACAAATTATAATCTTGTTATCGCCAAAATAGTATTGTTTTAAATGAAGTTGTATGACAGGCAGGGGCGGATTGGGCCATCGGGCGATCGCCCGAAGGGCCGGTCGGACAAAAAACTGAAAAAAATAATTTTGTCCAATTCGTCTAGAAAACCTTTTTCTGCTGAACATTATAGGGGGGGGGGGGGTATTGGACCGGCCATGGAGCGATGATGATCATGTTGTATGTGGCCGGTGGCTTTAACGGACCGCCACGCCACTGGAGTCTGGAATGGGCTGGTATAATAGACTTTCTGGGCCGGGTGTGCTGGGAGTGGGCCGGAATTCGGAATCCTGCATAATATGACGATGTGACAGGTTGATGGTTGTAAATTACTTGCAGGTCGGGGTTTTGTCCTAAATTAATCGATTTATGAGATATACTATTTGACAGAGATTATAATCAGATATGCCACCAAATCGCATATTGGGGTTCATTTTTCAAAATTTTCCCGGCGGAAAGCCTCCGGACCCCCGTCCGGGCTCCGCGGTCAGTAGAAGGGGCCGCTCCGACACGTGAGCCTGGGCTGGTATCCGGCCCCAATCCCCCCCTGATGACAGGCGTCTACTGTTATAATTTTTCATTTATATTATATGCATGATTATGTATTTTATAATGTGAGGTCAATATAGTGAGCAAACATTTCCAGTAGATACACAAGGATTTGCTTTTTTTTATGTTTTTACCCATTTTCTTTTTTTATAGTATGCATTGATATGTAAATAACTCAATTAAATTAACTTATCCAAAATATCATATAGTGTATTGGATAAATTAATTATTGTACATTATTTAGTTGTTTTTGTTATATACTGTTTCTTAATCAGTTATATACTTATACATGTAGTTAACAATCGTTTAAAATAAAATAATTCAGCATCGTTGTTTTTACTGAATCTGTAATTTTGCTGTGAACAAGCTGGCGTAGACGTAAAATGAGCTGCTGCTTAAACTAAGCTTCTGAAATCCATGCACAGGCCATTGAAGATTATGTGAACGGGGCATGGCGCTTCATATTAATTTGAGAACACGGATCAATTTCTGTATCGGCCCCATCCTCGGTGTCTCCATTTAATGAACCAACTGAAAATAAATGAAGTAACTATAGAAAATTTTAAATTAGACATCGTTATTACAATTAACGAACGGATCCGAAACCTGGAAAAACAAATCAGTGATATTACAATCTGAAAATACTAATTTAAAACTCCAAGTGGATATCATTACAAATAAAAATAATCAGCTCGAAACTGAATTATAAGATACCAAAGATGTAGTAGCTGCATTATCACTACAAAGGGTAAACGATCTAGAACAATGGAAATGAAATGGGGTTTAACGTCCTACTGTTCTGCTCCTATACTGGGCTAATGAAGACGGGCATGCCGCATACAGTGTGCTATGAGGGAAATTTTGCCCGGGCAGCGGCACTATCGCCTACTCTTATATCGAATTCCAACTGCCATGGGATCTTTTACGTGCATTCCAATGTATACACGGGTCCACGGTTTTTCGTATCATCCGAAGGACTAGACAGCTGTCCTTACCAGGCCCTCCGTTCTGCACCACTGACAAGGGGAAACCATGCTGGAAAATCTGGATGAACTTTCTCGGCCAATGCAGGGATCGAACACCCGACCTCCAGGCTAGCGTGCCAGCGTCTTACCCACTTAGTCACGTGATCCCCCTGGAACAATGGACCAGAAGATCGAGTGTTCGGATATATGGATTACCTGACAATCAAAATGACAATTTTACTGAATCAATAAAGAAATCAGTAGATGTTTTTTTTTATAAAATTGGTGTTCAAATGCCCCCCGAACACATTGACATTGCGCATCGTCTTGGTCCATTTAAAGTCGGAAAATGTCGAGTAATAATTGTTAAATTCATGTCTCGAAAGGACAAACTTCCTGAAGGGATTCAACATTACTATCCGAGAGGACCTTATGCGTACATAAACTCTCAGGTGTTACACAAAACCTTAAACTCAACTCTCGTATCTCAAACCTGGTTTATAGAAGGAGTTATTTACGCAAAATTAGTCAATGAAAAGATAATCAAAGTTTATCAACACACGAATATTGAAAAAGCCCTTGATGATAACAATGTCGGTTTCAAAAATAAATCACACACTGTACCCAAATCAATCCAGTTTGAGGGTAATGCGGATCTCACCCAAACGAAGACAAGTGGTATGGAAGAATCTTGTTATCATGATTCGACTGCACCATAGTCCTAAATCGAGCCAAACAACAAATCAAACCCTGTTTTTGAAGGTTATCGATTAACTCATTTCTTATCATCTAGATTTTATATTCATTCTAGAAAGTTTACTTTTAAACTTTGATATAACCATACCACTACACCTGGCTACACTGATGTTCACGCTGTATAAATGTATTTATGTTATGTTCATACTAATGTATATAATGTATAAATGTTACTATTTTAGAGTAATTGTAGTTATTTTACATCATCTACCTGTATTATTTTCCTATGAGTGTTTTGATATCTTGTTACAGTTGTCGTCTATTAAATATTAGCTCGTTTAAAGTTAGGATCATACTTTATATTTTAAACTCAAACACTGTGTGTAATTTAAATATCATACATTATGTTAAAATTTGTTATACCTATTGGCTTATGACATCTCAAAAATCGATAAATATTATTATAAGATTCATATCTCAAAGTTTCTAGAATATTTTATTACGCTCAGTGCTTTAATATCATTATACGACCTTCTCTTGACTCATTTAACCTTCACAATCATGATAATTTGTCTATTTGTCAACTTAATATTAGAAGTGTGCGGCACAAATTAAGTTTTTTTTAAAAAGTTTTCTATCTGATTTCCATACAGATATACTTCACAAATACCATGGGACCTTCTGGGCGTTTACAAACGGGCGTCTGACCAACAAATAGCCCTTCAACAGGGCTACACCCCCACCCCACGCCCTCCCCAAATCCACCCAAGCGAATCAGGATCTGCACTCTGGTGCAACAGAGCTAGAATTCATCCACTTCCGGTCACCAGAAATTAATTTTGAGGCATGCACCCCCACCCCACCCTCCACGCGAATTTAATTTTTTCCACCCCGTAAAACGCCCTGGAGAGTCCATTTCTGTCTAGTCAAAGATAAAAAAATAATGTATATTATTAATTAATAATATATGTCCTCTTGAAGCGGCTTACATCACTAACATAACTACTCTTGAAGCGGCTAACTTGAGTTGAATCGCCTAATTTTTACCCGCTGTTCCAGGAAAACATAACATCTTAACTACTGAGATAGTAAGGCCTAGAAATTATCGTGGCGTACGTGGACTGATGCTAAATTATAAGATTATGTTATTTCTTTACATCACATTTCCCCAAAATTGTCTTATTGAAAGTTTGAGATATCTTTTAAAATAATATTAATGGATTATTTGTTTAAAAAAAAATTCATGACGTGGGACTCAATATAGAATAATAAATGACCAGAAATATTTAAAATGAGGCTATATAAGTTTAAAACTATGACCTTAAAATATTGTGAAAATGTCAAAATAGATCATTGTAGTAATAAATTGTTGTTGCTGAAAATTATACAAAGAATACACATCGTGTCATTCGTTTTGAACCCGCTCGTTAATTGACACACCCAGTACAGAAAATGCACCGTCGCAGAGATTTTCACCCCAGCGATAATTAAATCACCTTTCAGTCAATTTTTCAGCCACGTTAATTAACACAGCGTATGTACAGATTTTGGCCTCTTCGTATTCGATTTGTTGCGATAATTCGAATTTTACCGATATTCGTACAAATTTACCAAAGTCGTTAGAAATCTATATCCTAAACGTACAAAAAACACTATTAGTATTACTACTTCTCAGTGCTACAAGTACAATAATCATTTTTCTATAGGCTTTTTTCCATAAAGGTAGGAAAAATACGGGGTATACAATCAAAAGCGTACTCTCGTGCGCTAGACAATCCGTGCTGTTATTTATGTCATTCAATTTTCAAGCTGTTGTTAGGCCCTATATATATATAATATATATATATATATATTTTGTATTGTTTTTGAATATCCCCTACTTTTTTTGAAGAGTATATATACTCTTCAAAAAAAGTATAGGGGATATTCAAAAACAATACAAAAACAAAAACAATTTGAAAATAGCGTTTTCTCGGCGAAAGTCAACTTCACTTTTCCCATCCGGATTCCACAGCCAATCCGTGCAATTACAAAATGAATAACGAATGTCAAATGTCAAGCTAACTTTATCCTGGCGGGAGTTTCTTAATGTTTGCGACATTTGTTTTTTATTTTTAATTTTTTTACTCACCGTAACTCACCAGTCTATTTTAGAAGTTTGTCACTTTGTAATATTCATAGCAGATTTATGTCACTACTAAAACGATAGGCCTATATCTGTTGTACACGTTTATAAAAAAATAATGTAGCTACCAAACCAAAATAAAAGGTCAGTCTCATGTGGACATGTCGTGTAGCCTACTGATTTTCCTACTTTCATTTTGTTTCCAAAACATGGTTAAAATTGTTTTCGTTAATCATCTCAATTGTTTTAGCAATTAATATTTTGATTTAGATTGTTCATTTTTCATATCAGATCTGATATAATTACTGACATTTTATTCTTACTGTCTCTGGCTCTTTTGATGAAACTATAAATCTCATCATAATGATAGGATATGACATGTCATGATAAATTATAAAAGATTTCTTATTTTGTTATTATTAATTAATTATTAAAACTTTATTAGTTAAAAGTTAAAAGTCTTATTTATGTGCACTCCAACATGGTGATGTAGGCTACACACGATCTCAGTTGTATGCTCCACCCGAATGACTAAACGCTATTCGTATTTATTTCCAGGCAGGGAATGCGGAAGCAATTCTTGATTGGGGGGGGGGGGCGCTACTCCTACATCCTAGGACTTAAGGCGAGGGTCGAAGGTTGTGGACACTCTAGAGGTCACAATTTTTATACGATTTTGATGAAACTGACAATGTATGTTTATAACCGAAAGATCTCTACACTTTTAGATTGTGGCCCTTGTAGACCTCACAATTTTTATTTGATTTTCAAAAATATCACTGTTGTTACACCATAATTATGGCCAAATTCAAATTTCGTGAAAATCGGACGGAAACTGCCTGACAAATGGCCGCTACCCTTAAAAGCATGTAATACCCAGGTTGTGGGCCATCCAGAGGTTCCAATTTTCATCGAATTTTGATATATCCCAAAGGTCTGGGTTCCTTTCGCTAATGGCACGTATTGGACCGTAACCTTCTTGATTATGATGCCTGATTGTACGAAATATTACGTTTTTAGCTTGTGATCTTATTTTCAAAACCGTTCAAATATATCACTCTCACTGTTACCGTGCTACATCATAATTATGGGTGAGTGAGGTTTTGATTCCACGCTTGTATGTGACAACTACAAGGAGTAGAGTCGCCAGACTCCCAGGACTCTGTGCATGCCTCACACAGATCATTTCATTGTCTTATCCCCCACTTCAAACAAATATAACAGAATATGAGTGAAATGAAACAGCATAATATAAGAGCTGTGTTTTGGTCACTCAGATCATAATGCTTAATTTGAAGTGAAAACTGCCTAGAAATTTACATAATAATTCATCAAAATATAGGCTATATGTAAGTACCAGAAGATATATACAAAAAACTAGATGTTTTTATATTGTGGAATGGGAAGAGATAATAAAACAATTATACATCACATTTTTCATGGGCTGTATTTATTTTCCAGAACAAAGATTGGTGTTAAATGTATGAAATCTATGGTAATGATGTGGTTGAGAAATTGGATTAATGGTAATGAGGTCTTCGATTGAGTGGATTAATCGTAGGCAGCTGTGGAAAATACAATGATGATGACCAAACGAACAAGACACCAACTCAATCCTAATAGAATATTTTTACTCTCGGGGTTTTCAAATGAAAAACGACAAGATCTTGCCAAAAAAATTAGAGCACTTGGAGGTGTTTATTTTGATATTGAGGTAATATTTACTTATTTAAAGGAGGCAAGTAGCTAACTCAGTATTATCTGCAGTCTTTAACATTGCAAACACGACTTATTGTTCAGTTTAAAGGAGCTAAATCGCTAATATTTGGGACCTACAAATTGACACAAATGGGTCGCAACATATATAATAATGTAATATGAATGTAAATAAACTGATTTACATTCATCGTTTCCGTTTTTACTCTAATTTCAAAGCAGTTATGTTAGGCGAAATACGCCAGAAGTCTCAATCGAATGTCAATCTCTAGCGCCTGGTTATTCCAGTTTACACTGATAGTATTTATTGCACATGTTCTCCAGATAAGAATATGGGGTCACAGTTTGACATGACTTGTGGAATATGTCTAACCTCGTTCTTCCGAGTCGTTTGTTACAAACTGTGCTGAAACGCATCATGGTACACGATTCGTGTACCAATCGTAAAATGTTTAATTTGTCATAAATATTGAATATCAGAAGCCCATCTTGTCCCGGTAAGATCACAACACCAATGTTGATTAAAATTGACAAATAATTCGTGTTTTCATTGTCGAAGGTTTTGGATGATACTGAGTTAGAGACTTAGCTACTTTAAATCAACATTGATGTTGTTATCTTACCGTGAAAAGATGAGCTTCTGACATACAATATTTAAGACAAAATGAAAATTTTAAAATTGGCTGCTTTCGAGTGTCATTTGTAATGAAGCGACTCGATGTCTCCTTTCTTTAAATCTGATTAAAAAACAGATCTATATTTTGTTTCATCTTTTTATACTTTTGATGGCCTACAAAACATGAAAATCTGACCGGTTGTACTGGAAGGTCGTGTCAGGGGTCATAGGAACGTCTTTTGAACCTATGACTCCAGACATTGATTAATCAATTAGCGTTGATGTTTGTAGTGGTTTACCTACAGTTCCGTGCATCGCACGCCAAGAACTTGCGGTAACAGACCCTTTCATTGGCTTATCCATGACTTCAACCAGAACGCCGGTAATATAACAACTCTTCCAGATCCTAGTAAAGACAAGTAAAATGAAATTTTGAACTAAAAAAACGAAACGAAATAGGATCTGTGTTTTAATCAGATTGAATCTGCTTTCATTACCGGTAACCCAAATCTGCTTGAATTTACATGAAGCATTGAATAATTAGAAGCTTAACAGATACATTCTGTTGATGGTTGATGGCTTATTTCCATGGCATAGTCTATTGTAGCCTATAATTATACAGGACACTGCGGGCAGACACTATAGTCTACCTCTTCATTTGATTATAACTAACTAGCTACAACCCTTTACTGTCACAAACAGTGCAACCTTTTTTCAGATAGGATTTGAGACTAAAGTTCTAACAAATATTTAAACTGAAACATAGCATCTACTGATATTTAGTTTTCTCACTAAAATAGATATGGCCCAAACTAAATATTTCTGTAATGTGAGTGACAACATTGTAATGAAGATAAAAAGAAATCAAATGGAGTTTAATGTCTTACTGTTCTACACTAACCTGTATAATGAAGATGGGCATACGCCATACATTTTAGTTCAGTACAGCTAGTATTCCTGCTTTCCATGCAAGTGCCATCAGTATGCAAGGTAGCCGTGGTGACTCAGTAAGGGACTGGCTCACTTACTGGGCGGTCTGGGGTTTGATCCCGGTCTGGCGTGGTTTCCCCTCGTTCGTGGCTCACTAATCAGGAGGTCCAGGATTTGATTCCCGTGTTGATCTAGACATTTCCTCAAACTTTCCAGCGTTGTTTCCCATTGTCAATGGTGCAGGAAGGGGTGGTGGGCTTGATGGGCAACGTCTAGTTATTCGGATGGAATATAAAACTGAGGTCCCATGTACACGTTGGTGTGCACGTAAAAGAACTCAAAATTCGAAATAAACAGTAGACCGCAACGTGGCTGTTTGGACTAAATTCCTCCTAATCCTATAGCATAATGTTTGGCGTATGTACATCTTCATTATCCCGGTTGATACCGAACAGTTAGGCATTAAACTCAATTTGATGGGTTTTTTTTCTTCATTACAATTGCCACTCCATTACAGTATTATCTAGGTTTTGCGCCATGTATCTATTTTAGTGAATAAATAACATACATGTATCTATAGGCCTACATTGTTTCAAATCAAATATTTGTTAGGAATTTAGACTCAAATCTAATCTGATCTAAAGGTTTACAGATATATTAGTAGAAATACTGCTATTCTATGTACATGTACATCATGAAATAAAGAGACTGTTAAAGAAACCGAATTTGATGTTTATACATGTAGTGACAGCGATGATGATAACGACTAAATTTGATGACATTTAAAGTGAAGAGTAACTGCGTAATTTTGATTTTCAATAATTGTTTTACTTCAATAAATAATTAGTTTTTGTCATATATATATTTGTTAGCAAATTGTACAATTATTGATATGGTTTCAGTTTAAATGTTTGTAATTTGGCCATAATATCGTAACTAGACGTTTACAGCTACCTGCAGTAAAAATAATGTAGGGTCTAATTGAAAGAGTATGTAGGTGTGGGTTTATATTTTTGTGGTAAAAATCATGTGGTTTTAGTGCGATTTTCAAAACTATAGACGGATTCTGGTCTTCATTTCCTTATAACCATATTTCTCAACCAATGTCAAACATGTATCTCCTTGCTCATCCGACTAGATGCTCTGCCAATAATTTCTGGGTAAACACCCGCTAACCAACCCTTGCAGGCCCCTGGGACCCCATTAACGATATAAATATTGGGCTTGTGTGCTCACACATGGTCTTGTGCATCATACAGCATCAACAGTTAACACGCACCTTAAATACTGTTATCAATTGCAGACATTTGACAGAAAGGGAGATAAGTCTCTATTACCGTTAATGAATTTAAAAAATCCTGTATTTTCGTTTGCATTGAGTGTTTTCGCCAATATTTAATTTTATGTCAACTTCATAATTGTTGTCCCCCGCCTTTCGAAGAAAGCAGGGCACTATTTAAAAAAATGGGTTCGTCCATCTGTCTGTCCGTCCGTCCGTCAGTCCGTCTGTCTGCACATCACACTTTTTGGGACACAATAACTCTCCTTCTAATTGAGCTGGAATGTTCAAACTTGGTGTAGGTGTTTATTAGGTCAATGCTTTGATGGAGTTCAAGATGAGCATTTTCTGCTTAGGGTAAGCAGAGACAAGCAATTTGATTAGTTGATGCTTTGGGACACGATAACTTTAGGTCTAATTAGGTGAGAGTTATGAAATTTGGTGTATAGTTCTTTTAAATCAAAACCTTGACAAAGTTTGATAATGAGCACTTTCTGCTCAGGTTAAGCAGAGTGATAAGCAATTTGATTGGTCAAGACTTTGGAACACAATAACTCTTCTTTTAATTGAGGTAGAATGTTCAAACTTGTTGTAGGTGTTCATTAGGTGAATGTCTCGATCTAGTTTGATGATAAACATTTTCTGCTTAAGGTAAGCAGAGATAAGCAATCTGATTTGTTGATGCTTTGGGGCACGATAACTTAGGTTATAATTAAGTGAGAGTGATGAAACTCCGAGTAATAGATTCATTACATCATTACCTTGACTAGGTTCGATGATGAGAATTTTCTGCTTAGGCTAAGGAGTGATAAGCAATTTGATTGGTCAAGACTTTGGAACATAACAACTCTGCTTTTAATGGAGGTAGAATGTTTCAACTTGATGTAGATGTTCATTAGGTGAATGTCTTACTGAGTTCAATGATTAACATTTCGAGCTAAAGATAAGCAGAGCTAAGCCATTTTATTGGTTGATGCTTTAGGACAAGATAACTTTGATAGAGAGTGATGAAACTTAAGTGTATAGTTGATAATCAGTTTGATTGCTTGATACGTTTAAAAAAATAAATGTGCGATAAATTAATATGTGTCATCTATTTATTTTGGTATTTTGGCGGGGGACATCAGCCTCACTATTGGCTTGTTGGTATAAATATAGCATTTACTTGACAATTATCACAATTTTCATCTGGCCCTAAATTGAGTTATTGCAAACATTTTGCTTGAAACTCTCGGGATTTGTGTTCCTGGTGTTATAAACTTTCCAAAAATGTATAGTTTGTTTAGTTGGGAGGACGTTGTAGCAGAATGGTGTTTCTAAGTAAGCTAGAAATTTTGGCTGCAGGCCTATTAATTTTGTTAGGTTTGCTCTTTTTGTTATGCTAGATTCTAGATCCAGGTATTCAATTTGAAGTGTTTATCTTTCTTGTCCATGTCAAATTTCCCATAGTTTTGTTTCTGGGAATATCTCTGTTATCAACAATAATAAAGCGAGTCCAGACTCCATGGACAATCTGCAGAATTTTCTGAAATTTAAAGTGAAAATAAAATGTAAGGAGTGAATGATATTGTTTGTATTTATCTCAACAACTATCTCTCCTTGAATAAATAAATAAATAAATAATAGAATGATATCTCTCTTTCAGTTTTTCAAATCTAATAGTACTCATATTATCTGTGGTAAATTATCAAGAAGTGAAAAATTCCTTGGTGCTTGTGCAACAGGTATATATTGAATTTCAAGGAGCTAATGCTAAACCTACAGACCCGAAAATAATGACAACATCAGGCACAAATTTTCAGTCATAATTCCTCTGGTGCCTTTAGTATCTTTATTTTCAGGCCTGTAAATCATACTGTTTAATATTATTGATGAGACGAACTCTATATTATTATAAAATCTTTGTAGTAACAGAATAATCAGAAGTTAGTTTGTTTACTTATTTTTTTTTTTTGTTTTCGCTTAGGGCATAAACTCTCTACAGTGAACGCGCAATCAGTTATTCATTAACATAGTCTTTATGGAAGGTTCAACGAAGACATATTTTCGTCTCACAAAACAGATTTATACGAAAATCTTTTGTTGTCCTAAAATCAAAGAGAGAGTAGAGTACTATTTCAACTTTTGGGGGGTTGGATGGCTGAATGGTTAGCGTGCAAGCGCTGTATCATAATGTCTGTCATTCAGTCGACTGGCGTGGTTTCAAATCCCTGGTTGTACGTTACAATGAGTAGGGTCGCCTGTCCAACCTCGTGGGTTTTCTCCAGGTCCTCCGGTTTCCTCCCACTGCTAAAGACTCATACGCGCAAGCGAATTATTGAAATAAAATTAAACCATATGTTAGTCCCAAAATGACCTAGTTTGTGTCGAGTGTATGTTAAACCCCATTTCTCTCTCTCTCTCTATTTCAACTTCAAAATATCTTGGTAAATTATAAATTAGTGTTAAATGCAGTCACAGTAACTTGTATGGTAGACTGGTCAATGTCCTTGAGTATCTAACATCAATAATCCAATTCTACTACTTTTCATGCCTGAAAATTCTTTTTTTTTAAAGCAAGAATCCATTAATATTCTCTTGAAAGAGAATCATCTGAATCCTAAATGGTTTTCAGATGAGGTGAAATTGGAACCTTTTATGATTATCAAAGATGAAATAAACACTAAGATTATAGTAAATGGTTATATTGATTACTGAAAGAGTATTATTTTATTTATTACTAATTTATTGTTCTCTCTATGGTCAAGGAAAATGGATTTTAAAGGCCAACTATATTGAAGATAGTTATTTAAAGAAACAATGGTTACAAGAAGAACTGTTTGAATGGACAACTGAAGATGGGAGTAGTCCAGAACTTAAAGAGTTAGCATCAGCACCTAGGCGATGGAGAGAGTCTTACATAATAAACAATGAGAAATCTTTTGATGGTTTTAAAGCAGCCTTACTTGTGGAAGGAAACAAACGGAAGACGGTTTACAAAAGGTAAATGAAAATTTGTGTTTTTGATGTCTATGATGCAAAAAGTTTTGTCATCATGAAACTGAGGAAACGATGGTGATCCTGTGGTCAAGATACTCAATTTTACAAGCTAAAAAGATTTGGGTTAAGCTCATTAGTTCCATCCAGAATCGTCCATGTTAATGAAAATCTGGACTTCTAGGGTACCTTCTTTTTGACTACAGACTCATTTACTGAGCAAAAAATCGTCTTCTTCGAGAACTCGAGTCTGATTAATGTGGATTGAGGTAAATTGCTTTTGATGCTTGTAAGCAACCGCTTCAGAATTTCAACACTTGGTCCAAACGAATAACCCATGTAACTGGGTCCAAACGAATAACCCATGTAACTGGGTAGATGGGTTTAATGACACAACGGATAGAAAATGATGCCAGTGTTGAAATTTTGCGACTGTCCCTAAACCAAATTCATTTATACTTTGGCTACCTTTCTTTTTTTTTATATCTAATTGTCCCCCGCCTTTCGAAGAAAGCAGGGGACTGTTAAAATGAGTTCGTCCGTCTGTCTGTCACACTTTTTGGGACACAATAACTCTCCCTCTAATTGAGCTAGAATGTTCAAACTTGGTGTAGGTGTTTATTAGGTCAATGCCTTGATGAGTGATGAAACTTGGTGTATAGTTTCATTACATCAATACCATGACTAAGTTTGATATTAAGAATTTTCTGCTCCGAGTAAGCAGAGCGATAAGCAATTTGATTGGTCGAGACCTTGGAACACAATAACTCTCCTTCTAATTGAGCTATAATCTTCAAACTTGGTGTAGGTATTTATTAGGTCAATGCCTTGATGGAGTTTCGAAGATGAGCATTTTCTGCTTAGGGTAAGCTGAGATAAGCAATTTGATTGGTTGATGCTTTTGGACACGATAACTTTAGTTCTAATTAAGTGAGAGTGTTTAAACTTGGTGTATAGTTCCATTACATCAATACCATGACTAAGTTTGATAATGAGCATTTTCTGCTCAGGGTAAGCAGAGTGATAAGCAATTTGATTGGTCGAGACTTTGGAACACAATAACTCTCATTCTAATTGAGTTAGAATGTTCACCCTTGGCATAGGTGTCTATTAGGTGAATGCCTTGATGGAGTTCGAAGATGAGAATTTTCACTTAGGGTAAGCAGAGATAAGCAATTTGATTGGTTGATATATGTATGAGACACAATAACTTTAGTTTTAAGTAAGTGAGAGTGAGGACACTTGGTGTATAGCTTTATTACATCAATAACTTGACTAAGTTCGATTATGAATATTTTCTGCTGAGGGTAAGTAGAGCGATAAGCAATTTGATTGGTCGATACTTTGGAACACAATAACCCTCCTTCTAATTGAGGTAGAATTTTTAGACTTGGTGTAGGCGTTCATTAGGTGAATGCCTTGATGGAGTTCTATGATGAATATTGTCTGCTTACGGTAAGCAGAAATAAGCAATCTGATTGGTTGATGCTTTGAGGCACCATAACTTTGGTTATAATGAAGTGAGAGTGATGGAACTCCGAATATAGATTCATTATATCATTACCTTGACTAATTTCGATGGTGAGAATTTTCTGCTTAGGCTAATGGGCGATAAGCAATTTGATTGGTCAAGACTTTGGAACATAATAATTCTGCTTTTAATTGAGGTAGAATGTTTAGACTTGATGTTCATTAGGTGAATTTCTTGACTGAGTTCAATGATTAACATTTCGAGCTGAAGCTAAGCAGAGCTAATCAATTTCATTTGTCAATGCTTTGGGACAAAATAATCTTGATTCTATCTGATAGAGAGTGATGAAACATAGTGTATTGATACTTTTGAAAAAAAAAATAGATGTGCGATTAATTAAAATGTGTCAACTATTTATTTTGGAACATAATAATTCTGCTTTTAATTGAGGTAGAATGTTTAGACTTGATGTTCATTAGGTGAATTTCTTGACTGAGTTCAATGATTAACATTTCGAGCTGAAGCTAAGCAGAGCTAATCAATTTCATTTGTATTGATACTTTTGAAAAAAAAAATAGATGTGCGATTAATTAAAATGTGTCAACTATTTATTTTGGGATTTCGGCGGGGGCAGCAGCCTCACTGTTGGCTTGTTTGTATTTTATTGAAGAATTGTTAATGTACTATAACCTCAATGGTTGCCATGTTTGTTAGATGGCAAATATTCATCTTGCATTTTGAAAAGACATATTTTTATACGCCCACATTTTCATGTGGACGTATATTGTCGTCTCCCCCGTCCGTCCGTCCACAATTGTTTGTGAACAGTCTACAGGTCACAATTTTTATCCGATTTCAATGAAACTTGAAATATAGGTTTATCTCACTAAGATCTCGGTTCCTTTCGATATTGGCATCTATCGGACCGTAACTTCATGGATTATGGCCCCTGATTGCACGAAAAATCACGTTTTTGGCTTGTGAACACTGTAGAGGTCACAATTTTTATCCGATTTTGTTGAAACTTGAAATGTAAGTTTATAACCTAAAGATCTCGGTTCCTTTCGATATTCGCGCATATCGGACCGTAACTTCCTGAATTATGGCCCCTCATTGTACGTAAAAACGTGTTTTTTGGCTTGTGGACCCTATAGAGGTCATAATTTTTATCCGATTTAAAAAACCGTATTATTATATCACCGTTTAACCCTAAGGACGGTCGAGTTCGAATTTCGTGAAAAATCGGCCCAAAACTGACAGACAAAATGGCCGCCGTTCGTTCTCAAATAGCGTAAAAATATGGTATATCAAGGTTGTGGACCCTATAGAGGTCACAATTTTTATCCGATTTTGTTGTTGAAACTTGAAATGTAAGTTTATAACACAAAGATCTCGGTTCCTTTCAATATTCGTGCATATCGGACCGTAACTTCATGAATTATGGCCCCTGATTGTACGCAAAAACGCGTTTTTTGGCTTGTGGACCTTATAGAGGTCATAATTTTTATCCGATTTAAAAAAACGTGTTAATATATCACCGTTACACCCTAAGGACGGCTGAGTTCTAATTTCGTGAAAATCGGCCTAAAACTGACAGACAAAATGGCCGCCCTTCATTCTCAAATAGTGTAAAAATATGGTATATCAAGGTTGTGGAGCCTATAGAGGTCACAATTCTTATCCGATTTTGTTGAAACTTGAAATGTTAGTTTATAACACAGAGATCTCGGTTCCTATCGATATTTGCGCACATCGGACCGTAACTTCATGAATTATGGCCCTATGGCCCCTTATTGTATGACAAATCGCTTGTGGACCATATAGAGGTCATAATTTTTATCCGATTTAAAAAAACGTTTTATTTTATCACCATTAAACCCTAATGACCGTTGAGTTCGAATTTCGTGAAAATCGGCCCAAAACTGACAGACAAAATGGCCGCCGTTCGTTCTCAAATAGCGTAAAAATATGGTATATCAAGGTTGTGGACCCTATAGAGGTCTCAATTTTTATCCGATTTTGTTGAAACTTGAAATGTAAGTTTATAACTCAAAGATCTTGGATCCTTTCGATATTTGCGCATATCGAATTGTAATTTCCTGAATTATGGCCCTTGATTGTAGGAAAAATCACTTTCGTTTAGCTTGTTTTCTATCCATCTCTCGAAAATGTGAGCGAATACTGCCTGGCAGCCGCTGGTATAATTAAAGAGGGCTTACAAATTTTCAAACAAAAATTTATTAATGATTGTTTTTGTGTATTTCAGACTACTTTCGTGTGGAGGCGCTTCAGTGTTTAATTTACAACTACCAGTTACAAAACCAGAGAAAATAAGTAATGTTTTACAATATATATTTGCTGATAGAGTATTGGCTGCTAAACATATTCCTGATTCTATACTGGATTATGGTATCATGTGTTTAAGCCCTGAATATATTGGAGATTTTTTGATTAAGGTAACCTTTAACATAATTTGTAGTCTTTCCTTTCAGAGTTATGGAATATGTGCAGGGGGGTACTCAATTGAACAATCGGGAATTGAATTCTATCAATCTGCAAAATAGTGACAATCGAGTGAAAAGGGGTATTTCGGGCTACAACGCATGCGTTGACTAAGTAAGAAAATATCTTGACCAATGATGCAGCCGTAACATATTCGTTTTGTTTAATTGTGTCACAATTCTACTCAAACCACCTCCGTTGTCGGGACTGACAGCACTGTGACAGGACTGAATTCTATGTCACTTGATTGCAATTCTGTCAATTCGGGATGTTCTGGACTGACAGTTGAGCAATCTCCAGTTGTTATAGTTAAAACATTTAAATTTCAAAGATCTAAAATCTTAATTTTTGTATTAGTGATTCTTTCATTTAGTTTTGATATAAAACTGTGTATTCTGGATTTTCATTTTGAAAAAGAACAAAATATTTAGCCTGCTTTGTATATTTTATATTTATTATTTTTATAAAGGAAACAACACCTGATCCATTTCATTATCTGGTAGTAGGACCAAATGTTGTATCCATGACAACAGATAGAAACAAGATGGGTGATGAATCAATCTGTTTCACGCAGCAGTCTAACAGTACTGGTACAAATAGTCCAAAAAGTACAATTTCTAACAGCATTTCCAGTCTATCTCCATTTTCTTCACAATTTTCTGTCAAAAGTGACTCTCCTTCAAAGCCAACACAGAAAAAAACAAAAGCTGCAAAAGTTAATCAGAGGATTATTACCCCTACAATTTCTACCAGACCTCGTAAAAAGATAGTTACTCCAGTTGGTCAGTGTTCGTTGAATGTCTTTGGTTTTGTATCTGTCAAAAAATGTAAAATAGAACCCATTTCTTCTGCTTCACCGGATTCAGTTGGTAAAGATAAAGAAGATATAAAACCATGTTCATTACATTCCCATTCAACATCGTCATTACAACAAGCTTTATGTAAGTAGTATAGCATCACAAAATTATTTATTTATTTACAGTACTGCTTATCTTTCTTACTAAAACTTAATTCCATTGATGTCATAGAAACTAGAGTTTATCACCTCATAAATGTGATTATCTAACAACTTCAGTCATTTTGAGGTCATCTCCTTTGTTACCCAGGAGCTGACTCTACTACTTTCTAAAATTGATCAAAACGGAAATAAATTGTTACCAACTATAGTTTTAGAGGTCACAATTTTTATCCAATTTTGATGAAACTTAAAACATATCTTTATATTCCGAAACTCTCAGTCCCTTTTGGTATTTGCGCATTTCAGACCATAACTTTCTGATTTATGGCCTCTGATTGTACAAAAAACATCAAAAATGACTTCCTTTCTTCCGTGGAGCCTCCTTAAAAAAATCATCAGATTTTGAATCTGTAAAAAGTTTTGTGAGAAGAATGAAGAGATCTACTTGAAAAGCTAATAAAACCAAATGTATAATCATAATCTCAAGACCACCTTTTCCACCTATTAAATGATAGTTAAATGAAAAAAAAAACCTATTTACTGTCCAAAGCTTATTTAGAGTCAGCATAATTTGCTAAACGGGTCAAAACCTGGCTCCAGATTGAAAATAGGTAGCACTCCTATGGTTGGTATGCTTGGCTAAACGAAAAGTCAGACTTCAGTAACGTTATTGCCTTGATATAAATCACATAGAACCTAGATCCAAACTCATCTATCTTGTGCATTCTAAATATTATAGAGTAGTGTAATATGACATTTAATATAAACAACACACCACCTGAACCAGAAAATAATTATGCTTCAATTTATTGTATTTGACAAGTTGATGACACAATTCTTATCAAAAAATGAGTATTTTCTTTGGCGTCACATGCCTAAATTTGAAGAAATTTGGCTATTTTCCACCTAGTCATAGCTAGAGTCAGAATAATTGAGAAAAAACTGTAAATGCTAATATTTGTTCGTTATGGTGTATCAAATCATTTTCCTGAAAACATTTTGACTATTTCAGTGGATAATAAGTTACCTGTACAGAAAAGATTAGTATTTACATCTGATAGTGTTGATACCAGTAACCATGGTGAAGAGAATAGCAATATTATGAAAAAAGATTGTGAAACCCCATCAATTCTAGAAATCTCTTCTTCATCCACATCACTTAAACGTAAACTAATCATAGATGATGGACCCGACAGGAAAAAACCAAAGGTTTGTTGAAACTGATTTAATGTATCCCATCTTTTAGAGTGTTTTTGATTACCATAGTTCTAAATCTAGAACCTGTATCCAGATTGGAGTGAAATGAAAAGCATACTCGATGGCAGTCATGTGAGCTACAGTGTCTCAGTGGTGGGTAAGGAGCTTGCTCCCTAACATTGTATGGCGTATGCCCAGTTGATTCAGAAAGTAGAATGTCAAACTACATTTCATTCATTCATTCAATGATTATTTTGAAACAGAAGAATCCACAACATAACGCTTGTATCAGGGCCCTTATTCAAGAAAACTTAAACTAAGATACAATCGAAATTTTAAGAAATACTGCAATTCGATTGGCTGACCAGTAAAATCAATTTGCATATATCCAATTTGCATATTGGTCAGCCAATCGAATTGCAGTATTTCTTAAAATTTCGATTGTATCTTAGTTTAAGTTTTCGTAAATAAGGGCCCAGGACTATAACTTTGTTTTTTCAGTATGGACCAACACTTAGCAGATGGAGACCTAAATCTTTATTAAGTAAATGTCAACCGTCATCTTTTGTAAGTATCAATATATTTTTCTCTTAATAAGAAAACATGTGTCTTATTCAGCAGAATGATGTGGGGGCGGGGGTATGAATTAGTAAATATGATTAGAGCTACTCATGAAAAGTAGCGGTACACCTGGCTAAATATATATGAAAAATATAGCAAAATAAAAACATGGCAAGTCATAGATGGCATACAACCGTAGACACAGACTAGTCATAGACATATATAATGACTCAAACTAAATAAAGAAAAACACAGCTATGAACTTACTTTATTGCAGTGTTTTGAATTTCATCAGTCAAATAGCTGGTTTCTTTGGTGAGAAAATTTCTTAGTGTGCCGTTCAAAATTTCACGGCACACTTAGAAAGATCTTGTGGCACACTGGTTGAGAATCACTGGTTTATTCAATCATGTTTTTTTTTTTTGTTGAATACATTGTTATGCAATTTTTTGTAGCAATTGATATCATCTTGATTTTAAGCATGTATGAAATATTAATTATTGTATTATTTGCTATATTGTAGAATGGAGATCAAGATATATCATGTAAAGAATTACCTATGTCTATGACTAATATTATAGATATGTGTATAGAAGATGAGCAGTATATGTCTAGTTTAAATCTCATATCTTCTAGTATATCTACTACATGTTGTCTAAAATCTACTACACTATATAGTATGATGAAATGTATTTTACTAGTAAGTTATATTCTATTAGTAAGTGTGGGACAACTGCAAACAAAACATAACTGATAAGAAAAACCTGTGGACATTGTAAAAAATAAATCCCTGAATGGCGATAGTGTGCCAGTTGACGTCATGAGTTAGAATCTGTAAACAATAATTTGATTGCTTTGCCTGTGTGAAGCTAGTTAACTGCGCGTGTAAGTGTGTTCGGTACCTGATCCAGTTAAATCCAAACGTATAAAATAACTATGATTGAATGAAGAAAATTGCAATCTAGAATTTTTCTTTTGCAGTTCATCAATGTTGAAATAAAATGGATATAGTATTTTATTTATTACAGGAATCTACGAGTAGTCAGATTACTAATATGGCCTACACAACATTAATGAATCATCTATTACTTCATCCACCTGTCACCCATCATCTACAAACTATTTATAGTCAATCATTCCAACCAGATCAGTCCACAGATGAAAATACAGAAAAAATACTCTGGAATTTTATTTCTTCAGTTATGCAGTAAGTTATATGCCTGATAACATCCAGAAGGAATGAGCGGTTTACTAGTCTAAAGCTAGGGTTCCTCATACAACCTGAAATTGACTCTAATAAAAGTTAAACTTGCAATAGAAAATTATTTTCGTTTGTGTTTTTTTTTGCTATAACATCTTTTTGTTTAGTAACGTTTATATATCCGAAGATTCCACCCTGTACCCTAAATTTCGCCTCATCAACTCCACAATCTTAACCTTAACCCTGAACCAAATGTAGTGCAAAGCCAAAACGGTAAGGTTTAGTGCAACATCACCAGTCCTATGTCATTCACTGGCTCTCAAGCTGCCTCCTTTTTGTTCCCTGCCTTTCGAAGAAAACTTTTAATTCTAACTGATGAAGAATGCTGAACCTTGACGAGTTCGATCATGAACATTTCTACTTGGACTAAATCAGTTTCATCGCTCAATACTTTTCAAAAAGATAATGTGCATTAATTAGTATGTATCATCTATTTATTTTGGGATATTAGAGGGGGACATCAGCCTCACTGTTGGCTTGTTACCTCAAATTTCAGCCTCTGGGGCAACCTAGTGTAGCTGCCAAGCCCAAACAAACAAATGATAGTCATAAATGTATATATTTAGATTACAGTTGTAAAATATTGGTAATTTATGATTATATATTTCTAGGTCAGCTTTGATTGAACTGACTAATGAAGATGAAGAGTTATTTAATAATCTTGTGTTATTAAAGTACATTTTAGCTGTTTTTGAAGTGAATTTTAAACATTTTATTAACAGGTAAATGAAAGTAGTTGTTATTAAAGATGCATTTACCAACAAATCATATCAATTTAAAAAGTTCAGTAACAATTTGTGACAAGTCAAAGTATGGCTGACATTATGGCCAGTGCAATTCATAATTTAGTCATCTCTTAAGTAATTCAATATTCAATGTAATTATAGACATTAGACAAATAAAAAAAAAAGCCCACTATCTATGCTGAAAAGATTCTTGCAAATCCTTAATCAAATCACACCTTGAGATGAATTGATGATATGGTAGTTATTACTGGGTTTTCTATGCAATAAAAACGAGCATAAACAGTATCATTTCACTCATTTTTGGTAGGTGTTTGAAATGCAAAGGTTTCTTTTTCTTAATCTTTAGAAATTCTTAGATACACCCTTTAGACACTTCACCGATGATTTGTAGCTTGTGGACACACTAGAGGTCACAATTTTTATACGATTTTGATGAAACTTGAAATGTATGTTTATAAACCAAATATCTAGGTTCCTTTCCATATTCGGGCATATCGATATTCGTGCATATCGATATTCGTGCATATCGATTTGTAACTTCCTGTATTATGGCGTTTTTAGCTTGTGGTCCCTCTAGATGTCACAATTTTGATCTGATTTAGAAAACTGTTTAAATATATCACTGTTACACCATAATGAGGGTTGATTTCAAATTTGGTGAAATCGGACCAAAACTGCCGGACAAAATGGGTGCCCCTCAATCTCATATAGTGTAAAAGTATGTCATATAAAGGTCTAGAGGTCACACTATTGATCCGTTTTTGATGAATCTTTAGATTTATGTTACTACTATGAAGATCTCGGTTCCTTTCGATATTCGCGCATATGGATTATGGCCCCTGATTGTGGGCGTATCTTGCTTGGCAACTGCTTGTTTCTATACCAAAAGAAAATTAAACATGTAAACAATGTGTGTCATTTGCTAGGCAGGGTGTGCATATTTATTCTAGAACACCGGATAACATTTTTCTGACTTTGGTAACTACAAATATCTCTTGTACTTTATTGTTAAAATAACAATTCTTTATAATGATATACATAACGAAAACCTGATTAGAATAATTTTCTGGAACATTTTAGCATAGAGAATGGTGAATCGGGAAAAATGTCTCACAGATCCTGTTTATTTATACAGTATTTATGGTCACCAGGCTTTCTGATATTTACCAACCGACAAACTCGTGATCTATTACAATATTTTGAAGATTGCTTGACAATACCTAGATCCATTCCACAAAAGGTATATTATTCTTCATTTTAATGAATGAAATATTCTAGGTGCCCCCCATTCAAGCACTAACCTTAGTTATAGAATGTGTTAGTGAAGTCAGCAATATATAATAGTTGATCTTTCATTAGTTTCAATATGTTGTCTCCAAGTTTAAAAATGGCATTGTTGTTTATAGAATACTCGTTAAATTTGTTTATTTTTGTATAAAATGTAACTGTTAGTCTTCTTTTTATATGGCCTCCCATCTTCATCAGCCCAATTCAGAGCAGAACAGAAGGACGTTAAACCCCATTTCATTTCATTTTTATATGGCCTCATTTAATGTGTGTATTTTTTTTGCCTGAGAATGCTTACCTCATGTTTACATCATGGTTTAAAATTATTTCAGTTCCAGTTGCTAGAGATTTTAACAGCTTTCTTCACATTAGCTTGTCAGTGTTTTAAATTGGTTGAATCAAATTGGTCTGCGTCAGCCATTTTAGATCCTTTGGTTGGAAACAGAACACAGAGTTTTATTACCGAATTAAGCCAGAGAATTTTAAGTAAGTTTGTATATATTCTTACGCAAATAGTGTAAATATATGGTATTTCAAGGTTGTAGACCCTCTAGAGGTCACAATTTGGATCCGATTTTGATGAAAATTGAAATACATGTTTATAACCCAAAAATCTTGGTTCCTTTCGATATTCGCGCATATATCAGATTATAATTTTCTGAATTACGGCCCTTGATTGTACGAAGAAACGCGTTTTTAGTTTGCGGTCCTTCCAATTTAAACAAATGTTTGAATATATCACCGTTAAACCCTAACAAAGGCTGAGTTCAAATTTCGTGAAAATCGGACCCAAACTGCCGGACAAAATGGCCGCCTCTCTTACGCAAATAGTGTAGATATATGGTATATCAAGGTTGTGGACCTTCTAGAGGCCACAATTTTGATCTGATTTTGATGAAACTTGAAATACATGTTTATAACCCAAAGATCTTGATTCCTGTTGATATTCGTGCATATAGTATCTTAACTTCCTGAAATATGGCCCTGATTGTACGAAAAATCATGTTTTTAGTTTGTGGTCCCTCTATAGGTCACAATTGTTATCCGATTTAAAAAAAAACATTTGAATATATCACCGTTACAGCCTAATGATGAATGAGTTCAAATTTTGTGAAAATCGGACCAAAACTGCCGGACAAAATGGCCGCCCCTTAATACGCAAATAGTGTAAAAGTATGTAATACCAAGGTTGTGGACTCTAGAAGTCACAATTTTTATCCGATTTTGATGAAACTTAAAATATATCTTTATATCCCAAACATCTCAGTCCATTTCGATATTCACACATTTTAGACCATAACTTCCTGGATTACGGCCCCTGATTGTACGAAAAATCACTTTTTTTGTTTAACTTGTTCTCTATCCATCTCTTGCAAAATGTGGGCGTATCTTGCCTGGCAACCGCTGGTTAATTTTTAATTTTAGTCAATTGTATTTTTGGCCAAATGAACCTATTGAAATTCATAAACCTTGTAAATGCTTAACTGGTTGAAATTTATGGGATTGTTTGACTAGTCATAAGGAGGAACTCAAACAAAATTCATACTTACACATAAATTTTATGTGTAGTTTTGTCCCTGACATGGAAAACTTGAAGACTGCTGGTGAACATGTTATGCAGTGTTCAAATTTCGTATATGTAGGCTTAGGACAGTTGATATCAGAATATAATAATGTAAGATCTTTTGTAGCAATGTAGTCAGAATTACTTTTTGTTTTAGATTCTTGCATAGAGGAAGACGGTTTATTTGAAACTATTCTTCAATCTATGAAGCCATCATGGATTTGTTTGGGTGTGTCTGCTCATCTACTGTCCAAGTATGATGATTATCTACTGTTAGAAGGTGTAGAACAAACACCCATTACTTTATCTAAGATAGTAAGTACATAATTACCATTATTTATATCAATGAAAATAGAAAGTTCTTCCAGACAGTAGAAAGGAATGGGGTTGTGGGATGGGATTTGATAATATGGCATTCTACTTCAGTCAAATGTGATAACTACATTCCATTGCAGATTGAGTGAAAGAGATCGAACAAAAAACTAGGTCTTTATTGAACTAGCATATTGTATAGAGGTGGAAGAATCTGGAAAACCTGGAGTAAACAAATGTGGGATCAAATTCACTTGCATCTTTGATAAACCTTGTGATTTAAAGTGCATGCATTTGACTAATCAGCCCTGTACTGTTTATCATGGACTTTATTTATTGATAAATCACTGTTTGCTTTTCAGGTTACCCAGTATTTCTTTTTATTACCACGACTCCATTTTAACAAACCAGTGGAACCATTACAAGAGAAAAACATAGCTTGCCGGGCAAGGTAACATATGGTTAAAAGTAGCTTTGTCATGTAGTCTGTAATAGGACTGTGTGCCATGTTTATTGCTAGGGCCGAAACGGTGAACCGGTGTGCTGCAATTTTTTCCATAGAAATGATGAACGATACTTTTTATAAGAAAATCGATACCCGCGATTTTTTTTTCAATTTGAGGTTCACGGTATATTTCACACTGTATTGGGATATTTATTCAATAAATGAGGCGATTGGATGTATAAAAGTTACCTAACAAGTCAGTGTAAAGAAAAATCCCGGTAGTATATATCCGAACTATATATAATGCAGGAGTCTTCAATAGTCTCATCGATCTAAATGTCATGTCATTGCAAAAACTGACCTAATCTCGTGCAATATTTTCCATTGGACAAAATACCGAAAGCCATCAATCCCATTTTTACAGTCATTTCGTCTTAGCGATGCCGGTGGCCATTACGAAAAGTGTGTTGAAAGTTTTGTCTAACTTTCAGTGGTATTTTTCTTTTGACTATTATGTCCAGTAGTATTACACTGAATGAAGTTGAGATTGAAAAACTACCTGCATCTTATAGATCGAGGGTATTGCACCTTTTCGGCTTTTCTGTTAACTACGTAAACGGCAACGGGAAAGTCAATAAAGAAATTTCAGTCTGCAAATGTCTTACCCAATTACGGTATACAGGGTTGTATTCATGTATGTGTAGCCTACCTGACTTTTCTGTGTACTGTGTCATTTTGTGTCAGAAATTGTGTATTTTGGTTCAATGTGAGTAAAACAAAATGCCAAAAATGTTGGTTAAATATTAAGCAATATTTGGTCAATTTCACAGTAAAAGCTGTGTATCGTGGGGCTAGGGAATAATACTGTATCATATCATATGGCACAGCGTATCGTTTCAGCCCTATTTACAGTAATAATAACTGTTAATGAAGTAGAGAATTGAACTGTGTAGAGTGAATACTAGTACGATATCTTTCATATGCAAATAGTTCCATAGAATTCTTTTTTATTAATGATATTGTTATAAAAATTGTTTTTGTAGGCGAAGTGTAATAACTTCACCTCTGAAGAAAGAAGAAAATATTATTACTTCCAAAGTTAATCATAAATCTACCCATATAAACACAGATAAGGAAACTGTTAAACCTGATCCAAGACTTCTTCAAAGAATTAACAAAAAGAATTACAAAGGTCACTACTAATTTTACAATGTGCACATTTGGCATAGATCTAGTGATTTGTCTGTCCATAATTTGTTGTTAATACTCTAGAAACTACTTTTATTGTTGGCATTTTGTCCCTTTTAACTTATGATGTCAAGTGGCAAATACTGCCTTTACGTAATGTCATTAAGCAGACGAGCGCGTCAAGATTAGTTGCAATTTTCCCAAATTGCTTCCTTGTATTCAGTATTAGTTGTTCTCTGTGTTTTGTAGAATTTAGGACTTATGCCCTAACTTTGTAATTAATACACTTGAATTTTTTCACATGCTTATAATGTTTTGATACCAATTTTTTGACTGCTACATAGGCCATTTAGTTTTCCATGGCTTTTTATATGCCCACGTTGAAATGTGGTTGTATATTGCCATCGCCCCCATCTGTCCGTATGTACGTCCTTATGTCAGTCTGGCATCCATAATTTCTATGGACGCTCTAGAGGCTTAAGTTAATATCCGATTGACTTTAAATATACACACCATGTTTAAGGTCATGAGACGAAGAAGTCTATTGATTTTCAACAATTTCCTATAATTGTTGCCAGAGTTATGGCCCTTGATCACTTTGAAAAATCTTGTGGATGCTCTAGAGATAAAGAAGCCTATTAAATTTCAACAATTTTCAATAATTACTGCCAGTGTTATGATCCTTAATCTTGTGGACGCTCTAGAGGCTAAATTTACGATCATCTGAGAGACTTTACCGTCTTTACGGTAATGACACGACAGAGCCTATCAATTTTCAACTATTTCCAATAATTATTACCAGAATTATGACCCTTGATCACTTTGAAAAATCTTATGGACGCTCTAGATTGACTTTAAATTTATACACAGTGTTTATGGTAATGGGACGAAGGGGCATATATTTTTTTCAACAATTTCCGATAATTACTACCAGAATTATAGCCCTTGATCACTTTGTGGACGTGCTAGATTCTGAAGTTAAGATAAATTCATTATACAGAATGTTTAAGGTCATGAGACAAACAAATTCTAATCATATCTGCTAATTACTTAATGGGTTGATATTTTAGTGTGTTGTAAATGTTTTCATTACTGACAAAAGTAAAAATATGCGACAACTCATGTTGACTGCCCGAACGATTTAGCTGCAGTGGGCGTATGTTTCGTTGCCTGGCAACCTATCTTTTCTTGAGTTGCTATCCTTATATTGTTAGTTTGTTTTTCATTTTGACAGACATCTGTATCATTACAGGCCCGGGACTGTACAGCGCAGTGGATGCTTACGGCTAGCCCCTGGATCCATTAACTTGATTTGATATGTTGGTTTGTTGTTTGTGATTTCTGTATATTGTGTAATTGTGTGTGTGGTGCTGCCCCTTGCACTTACTATTATAGCACTGGTAGATGTAAAGCATTCAATACAAATCATTCAAATCATTGAAAAAAAACCATGGTATACATTTTATTTAGTGCCCATGTATTAATATGGACATGTTAATTTATTATTTGAACTGTTTTTTTTTAAATTGTTTTTTTTTTAGGAGAAACACCACTACATGTTGCTTGTATAAAGAATGACGTACGACGTTTAAAACAGCTGCTAGCAGTACCTGGTATTTATACTATTCAAAATATTTTATTTCTTAATGTTAAATAACACCTGTTAAGATGTTGACATCATTGAAATGTCATATATTGCACAATTTACCATTCGATCATCTTAAGTTATACAACAAATTCATCATCCAATCTGTTTGAAATTTTCATTTTGTCTTAAATATTATATAACAGAAGCGGAACTTTTAAAGGTAAGATAGCTTCAATGTTGATTTAAATTGACTAATAAGTTGTGTTTGCAGTGTTGAAGACTGTGGATGATAATCAATTAGAGAAGTCTATTCAAATAGCCTGTCCAACCTTGTGGGTTTTCTCCGGGCCCTCCAGTTTCCTCCCACTGCTAAAGACCCCTACGCTCAAGCGAATTATTGAAATAAAAAAAAAATATACTGTATGTTAGTCCTGAAATGACCTAGTTTGTGTCGAGTGGACGTTAAACCCCATTTCTCTCTCTCTCTCTCTCTATTCAAATAAGAATTGAATTGATATTAGTTATATTTTTTGTTTTTAAAAAGGTATTAATGTGAATGCTGCTGATAATTATGGTTGGTCACCATTACATGAAGCATGTAACCATGGTAATATAGAATGTGCTGAATTACTGCTTAAATATAGTCCAATGAAAACCGTGGATTCCTATTTTAGCCCAGGTAATCTTGTTATTAAACCAGGTATGATAACTTCTGTTGAGATCTTCCTGTCATTCATTAAAAATGATAATATGAAGTTTTCTATAGCTGAAACATTATACCACAATTGCTTCATAGCTAAAAAGCTCTCTGTATGAATTTAAAAATAAAAAGAGATTTACCATACTTTGTTCCCAAAATTGATATCCTTTTCTTTTGTTATTGAAATAGACATTTATGTAATTAGCATAGATATTTGTCTAGTTATTCATATTGCATCCAAATGTAAATGTATTGTCGTTTGGGTTTAAAGGAAATATAAACAGTTTGAATGTAATAAATGTATTGTTATACAAGTTTAAATGAAATAAATAAGACGTCACCACCTCTATTGTATATAAGGCATCACAGGATTACTATAATTCAATCTTGAAAAAGGGTATTGCACCCGAAACATTGATCTATTAAAACGATCCTCTACGTCTACAAATCTGTTGTGGTTTTCTGTTGTGCCGGGATTCTTTAATTCTATTCTGTACTCCGCCCCGCCGGTATCATTTTTTGATCCAGTCACCACGCAGATGTACCAGCCTGTCCAGCTATAATTACTCTCTAATGGAGTGTTGCCGTACCCTTTTCCTGTTTCCAATATATAGTAGAGTTCAAATGAAATAACTGTTTGGTTTAGTTTGAAATAACTGCTTTGTTGTTTTCAGGAAGTGAAAAGTATCGAAAAGTAGATTTATTATTATGTAATGTAGATGGTATTACAGCTTTACATGATGCCGTTGATTGTGGTTGGACAGATATATGTCAATTACTTATTAAACATGGAGGTATGTCTGATTAACTATTGACAAAAACAATTGGGAATATTAGTGAATAGAGCCTGTTTTCAGTTAACCCAATGATATCAATCAGATCCTGAAGTGAGAATGATCCAATCTAAATGCTTGGTATGCTAATCGGTCTTGATATTTAGGTTAGAAATGTTTGTGTGGTTGTGTGGGTGTAATGGGTTGGGTATAGTTGAAAAGTTAAAGATGGCACAGGTCCCATGATGCACACGGGTATAAAGGACTTCAAGTTGTGTGGTTTTTTTTAACTAAGATCCAAAAACAGTAAAATCAACACAAGAGCGAGCAGTAAACATGTGACAATGTCTATGTTGCAAGAATTACACAAGAACACCAATCTCCAGGTTATTGTCTAACCTGGTTGCAATGTGTCATGGAGTCTTGTCAACTATATGAGTATTTTATTTTTGACCGCAGGGGACGGGACTATTAAAATGGGTCTGTCTGTCTATCCGTCATACTTTTTGAAACACAATAACTCTCCTCCTAATTGAGCTAGAATGTTCAAAATTGGTGTGGGTGTTTATTAGGTGTTAGAAGATGAGCATTTTCTGCTTACTCTAAGCAGAGATAAGCGATTTGATAGGTTGAGACTTTGGAACACGATAACTTTGGTTCCAATGGGGTGAGAGCGACGAAATTCAGTGTATTGATTCATTATATCAACACCTTGACTAAGTTTGATTATGAGCATTTTTATAAGACCGCATTGAAAGGTAGTTGTATATTGTGGTCACCCCGTTCTAGAGGCCAAAGTTAATATCCAAATGACTTTAAATTTATACAGAGTGCTTTAGGTCATGAGATGCAGAATCCTATTGATTTTCAACTATTCCAATAATTACTGTTATGGCCTTGATACCTTTGAAGTATCTTGTGGACGCTCTAGACGCTAAAGGTAATATCTGATTGACTTTAGATTTATACACAGTGTTTTAGGTCATGAGATGCAGAATCAAATTGCTTTTCAGCGATTTCCGATAATTACTGACAGAGTTATGGCCCTTGATCACTTTGAAATATCTTGTTGAAGCTCTAGTAGTTAAAGTTAATATCCGATTGACTTTAAATTTATACACAGCGTTTTAGGTCACAAGATGCAGAAGCCTATTGATTTTCAACGATTTCCGATAATTACTGTCAGAGTTATGGCCCTTGATTACTTTGAAATATCTTGTGGACTCTCTAGAGGCTAAAATATTTAAGATCATGAGACAAAGAAGCCTGTTGATTTAACTTCACTACCAGGTACCCAAAAACCATGACCAAATTTCATTGTGAACATTTTCTGCTTAGTGCTTAGACTAAGTATAATCAGTTTGATTGCTTGATACTTGGGAAAAAGGTAAATCAGCAGTTAATTAGTATGTGTCATCTTTTTATTTTAGGATTATTGGCTTGTTTAGTTACTAAAAGATTCACGATGCGACAACTTTTTGTGTATGTTTTATTGCCAGACAACCTGTCTTTACACTAAATCCTAATAAAACTTTCTTTTGATCATCTTGAAAGGTAGAAGTATTATTTCTCTGTAAGCCTATTTCAATTCATTTCTGTTTATTTGTTATTTTAGGTAACCGAATTTTAGAAGTAAAGACGAAGTCTGGTAAGTTACCTGTAGATTTTGCTCAAACAGAAGAATTACGCAAATTATTATCCCCAAACAATGAAACTGGATCATGTTCCCAAGGTATGTCAGAATTTTTATATGCTCCCATTTTCACGTGGACCTATTTTGTCGTCCATCTGTTCACATTTTGCTTGTGGACACTCTACAGTCATAATTTTTATTTTATTTTGATGAAATGTAGGTTTATATCCCAAAGTTCTTGGTACCTTTCGATATTGGCATGTATTGGATCTTAACTTCATGGTTTATGACCCCTAATTGTGTGAAAAATTGTGTCTTTAGCTTTTATTATATGTTTATATCTTAACATCCTGGATTATGACCCCTGATTCTACGAAAAATCATTGTTTTTCCTTGTTCTCTGTCCATCTCTTGCAAAATGTGTGCATATGTTTCATGGCAACGTATTAAATGTTTAATATATGGTACTAAGACACAATGAAAACATACCACTTATAAGTGTAAATCTCATTTGTGAGATACAATTTAATCTTGAGCTTTTAAATCTAATGGGGGAGTTAGATGACCAAATAGTTAGCGCGTGCGCGCTGTATCATAAGGTCTGTCATTGAGTCAACAGGCATGGTTTTGGTTCCAGTTGTACGTGACAAGGAGTAGGGTCGCCTGTCCAACCTCGTGGGTTTTTTCCAGGTACTCCCACTGGTAAAGACCCCTAATGCGCAAGCAAATTAATGAAATAAAACTGAACCATGTTATTCGAAATGACCTAGTTTGTGTCGAGGTTAAACCCCATTTCTCTCTCTCTTTTTAATGTAATGCCACATGGCAAGTGTGGCTTTTAGAGGTGGACACACATGTTAATGACTTGATTTATAATTATTGTTCTTAAATTTCACTGGAAAGTTGTTGACATTCTTGCTGTAAATGTCAAGCATATAGCCATGCCAAATATTACATATCATATCACCAGCTATTTCAGTCCAATCAGTTGTCTGTTTTCATTTGTATAGTAATATTCATTATAATGTCTCTTGTTGGGAAAAACAGTTACAAATTCTTAATTAAAGGAGCTAAACTTTTGATTTTGGTCAAACTCCATACAGTTAATTTTTTGTATACTAGTTTTAGTTTAATTTTGACTTACTGCATTGATAATGGAATACAAAATGGTTACATGTATATATATATATATATGTATCTCAACACTGGCTTTATATAGACGTAATATTTACAACAAAGACAAACTGTTGGAATCAACCGTTTTGGTTTTGACCCCAACCAAATCGGTCTAGTTAATTTAATTTTTTGTGTTCTGTCTTGTAAGGTTTATGCATGAATAGAAAATAATAAGATAGTTTTAATGGTTATATTGAAAAACTGCACATATCTCCTGACAGATATCTGGTATCGCCTTGATAACACAAAAATACAGTGCACAGTTTGACTAATTATAATTTTGTATGATTAATGTAATTTCAGATAGTGTAACATCAATAGATTCTAGATTAGATTGGTTACCAACAGATTATTTATATCAAGAAATATTAAACAATGGCAATAATACACGTGTAACAACAGTGAAAGATTGTGTTAAGTTTATTAGTCTCATTCAGTTTTTAACAACCTCATATATTGCTACTCACAGACTGCAGTTATTACACGAAACATTAAAATTACACACTTACACATCGTCCACAATGCCCAGTAGTCCAGTTGTCAGAAGAGCTCTGCAACATAAAAACCAAAGGGGCGATGAAAGATTTATTCAATGGCTGGATGGAAATTCTGTGATGAAAATTCTAAATTTGACAGAAGATCAGTTAAAACGAGGCCACAAGGATTTAAAAACACTTCTCAAAATAAAGAAATACCTTGTTTTGTTCGAGAAACATTTAAAGCTAATAATGACTGAGGAAGATTTCAAAGCTGTTAAACCAAAAGTGAATTTTTTAATCTGCTCACTTGCAACAATTTTATAGTGCTTTAATCTTGTCTGTTATGTTTTTATATCCCAGTTTTATAGACAAAATTTCCTCTCTTTGTGCCAAAAAGAAATGTCGAATATTATGGTAATAGAGGTTAGGTTTTAGGAAGGTCTTCCATGAACTATATTCACTTTAATATTCTATTAAAGTATTAAGTATGTGTTAGTGGTTGTGACCATCATCCCAAAACTACTGCACTTTACTCATTACAGATTGAAACATGGAAATACCTGACTTCGAAAACGCTAAGTTTTATTTTACATTGTTAGCAAACAAAATGTATGTTTTGAGTACAGCATTTGAGGTTCGATCCATGGTATTTATTTACGGTTGGGGGTATAATATTATAACAATGATGGACTAAGTCAATGTCGGATGTGTGCTTACAAGTCTCGCTAATACAAATTCATGCTTTATGGAGACCGATCTGATTAGTAGAGAGCATGCATAACTGGTTCATAATGTCACTTCAATTCATGTTTGGAGATACTGTTATCATGGGAAGAAACATTTAAATACTGACTACACTACACCTTTAAATTTGTTACTGTAAGAGAGTAAAAGTTCTGTTCTCCTCCTGTGACATCACACTAGATGGAAGCTATTGCACTACCACTACTGGTAAGGGCCTTGTTATATTGCAAATATTTGAGGAAAAGTTCTATGCTTAATACTCATATTCCTGTATAATATACAGTAAGTATACCAGGTTTAACTAGTAATATAATACTGACTGAACTGGTTATAAACCTTATTATTATCAATTTCTTAATATATTTTGCAAAGATTATTGATATTATTATATGTTCATTAATCATTCTGTTGAAAAGTTGATATCAAAATAAATTACAAGATATATGTATTATCTCAAACCTTTGTTATTGCATTAATGTGTCATATTAAATTCTCCAAAAGTTACAGTATGTGTTTTTCTTGGTATTAAAAGACACCTGTAATTAACTTTATCTGAACAGAACTATGACAGTTTGAAGCACTAGTTAGTAAAAATAGATAGTATTAACCTGTCCGAATACCGGTAATGAATTGAGGGCTGTCAACAATGTGGAGCTAGACTTTTGGATGGAAACAAAAGTGGGATATACATGCATGTGCTGTTGAATCAGAGTTTCTCCTGGTGGTCAATCTGTTATTTGGAAAGTGGTGCTATTTGAAGCCCATAGCAAGCGACACGTACTGTTGGCCTCCCAATTAAGGTTATACCTAACAGCTGTGACAACTATTCTGATTAAGTTTTTACTTGTGGTTTACTCCTCTTCTATCAACTGTACTAAATAAAACAAATACCATATTTATATATGGTTATCACATAATGTTTTATAGCACATTAAAACACTGCTATAACATCATACCCACTGGTAATTTATAAACTAATGTTTAAAGATGCATTATGTAAGAGCTAAATCTGGTTATGGCAGGTCTTTATTTTGGCTTCAAATGTTATATAAACTATTATATAAACATATATTATATAAACACGCCCATAATCAACTTTCTAGGCCATTGGATGGCTCCGATTTTAAGTGGATTAGAAGGCTTCGGCCGTTTAATGATTTAACTTAAAAATGGAGAAGCGACGCTAAAACTTGAATAACAAGTAACGTTGTTACGGTAATAAACAGTCAATGCCACATATTGGCAAAACTCCAAACCGTGATTACTTCGCTCTGAATTAAATAATTTATATAAAATTTTCAATATATTCATTTTGCATTTTAACTATTTTTGATCTATTATAGCAAGAACGAACAAGCTCTTTATCTAATCTTACATAATGCATCGTGCTTCATAATTCCATCCACTGATTCTAATATTCTTGCTGCTGATTTTTAGTGGTTTCGGTTCATAGAATTTGATTTCTCAGTTATAGTCATTTCAGTACAGAATTTCAAAAACCTGGCACAACATCTTTCTCTACTCTAGTTCTTGCACTCAAATCATTTATAGTTCAGACATTTCTATGGCTAATTGTTTATTGTTTTTTCCATAAATGACTGTAAGATTTAAGATCAAAATCATCTTCAACCTCATCCTCAATAACAACCTTTTGCTTGGGCTTTCTCTTTAATAATCTTGCTTTTTTATCAGCTTCTGATAATGTTGATATATCTAATGGTAGCTTAAAAATAACAAAAATTTTTATTATTTATTTTTTTTTTTTTTTTGCACACAAAAGTACAAAACAAAACACAAAAAAACCAAGAAGCATAATAATAACAAAGTGTGAAATTACCCCCACACAGCAGCTTTGTCTCAACTTCAGCTCATCCAATGGAAAATTTTGATGACTCAAATTGATAGGGTTCATCCTCTCAAGACATCAATGCTTACAACCAAATTAAAATTTCATTAAAGTTGCAATTGCAAATTTTCAAGTTATATTTTTAAAATGTATTAAAATAAAGCCTTAAATTAGATGGTATCCATAAACAGTCCTACCTTGTTAAAGAATAATCCTATTAATCCTATAATTCGCTATTGCCAGCTGAGAAATTGGCAAAAATATCATTTTTAACTTCAAATTCCAACGTTGGAAAATGGCTGCCCCATGTTATCAATAGCAAAACAGAGGAGGTAATTGTGTTGTTATTTCCTGTGTCATAGATTTTTGAGGGTGGGAAATAATGCCCATAATCGTATAATAGTGATTTGATAACCTATTGAGCAAAAGACATAGAAATAATTATGTTTTGACTTTCTTAGAAAATTTGAAATTCTCGCTTTAAGAATTGAAGCCTCTATCTAGTTCACAAGGTTTTTGTCAAAGTGGGAATAACTCTACATAGAAATTCTTACAATGCTGAATATCAATAGTGTTTGTCATCTTATGACACAATGCTTAACGGAAAATCACAGATTGCTGAAAATCAATAGGGTTCTTCCTCTCAAAACCACAAAATCCGTCAAAAACTGTAGCCTCTATTGCGCTCATAACGTTTTCAGAAAAATGTCATTACTCTTATGACCATGATACTTGACACCAAATTTGAAAAGAATCCGACAAAAACTGTAGCCTCTATCGAGTTCAGAAAGAAATTGTTGACGGACAGACGGATGTGGTGACATAATGTGCCCAGATTGAAGTGTAAATGTAAATTTTACAATGTAAAAGCAATAAATGCCAACAAAAATAAATGTGTTTTTAGCAGATTTTAAAAACTATATATAGAAGTGTAGGTTCTTACGGATTTTACATGCTGTTCATTGACTGATTTTAATATTCTCGTTTCCAGTTTTTAAACAATAGGTCTAAAGATCTATAGAGAGAGAGAAATGGGGTTTAACGTCCACTCGACACAAACTAGGTCATTTCGGGACCAACATATGGTTGAATTTTATTTCAATAGTTTGCTTGCGCGTAGGGGTCTTTAGCAGTGGGAGGAAACCGGAGAACCTGGAGAAAACCACAAGGTTGGACAGGTGGCCCTATTTCTTGTCACGTACAACCAAGGATTCGAAACCACGCCAGTTAACTCAATGACAGGCCTTATGATACAGCGCACACATGCTAACCATTCGGCCATCAACGATCTATAGTCAAATTTTATAAAACAGATTAAGAATAATCATTACAATACAAACAAAGTTTTTCAAGCAAGCTGCTTCTTGTTTGAATTATTAACCAAGAGTAAAAGTTTCAGATTGTCATTTAGGGGATTGGAATCACTGAAGTTAAGTCTCAATTTCATTGAATATTTACAAAGACGTAATCAATTGATAATATGTCAACATTCGACATCCTCTGCAGACAATATAAACGTGACCTGATCAATGGGTCAGTGTCATCTATAGTTGTCTCTAAAAAGTTTTGATTGGGCTCTTTTTCATTCAACCGAATCCAAGCTGAGAGATTAGGCTATCTACCAATGAAATTTTGTTTTCTTTAAATTTTACATAATCAATCTGAGTATATTATAGCATGGATTAAACTGTGAAAAATGAAAATGATTTTCAGCAGTTTTAAGTGGGGAAAAAGGTATAGGGGCAGCTATATGTACATGCATATATCGAAACATCCAAATAATCAATGTTAGTGTACCATCATCAATTTCAATGTCAATGCAACAAGTAACTAATGTAAGCAACAGAAATTATATTTAACCTTAATCATTTTTCTAGGTTCTTGATATCTTATAACAATTGTAGCACCATTAGGAAGTACAACTTGTGTGGGATAAGTTTTCAGATATAGATTTCTATTAGTTCGACATAAGGCTGTTCTGTTTGAATTGAAAAAAACTGGTATGACATAGTTTTGCCAAGTCCGACACATCACAGTAGAAAATCTGTAAAAAAAAAAAATCTTTGAAATAATAAAATATACAACAATAACAATGATACAGGCATCAATGGTCAAAACATGGTTGTTCATATTCATTATAAGCACTTTAATATCAGTAGAAATAACCAATATTCTCCATTCGACTAACACATTTTTACTTGTACCTATTCTCCTGGATCAGTCAACCAATTTTGATGGAATATATCAAATAGTGGTTTTCATCAAACTCAAATCCACATAGACCTATACTAGAACACTACAGACATTTTCTAATTTATAAGTCAGTGACCATCGTCTGGTTGACAAATTCAGGTAGAAGCGTAAAATTTATCATTTCAACACAAATTTAAAAGATAGGTTGCCAGGCAACGAAACATACGCCCACAGCAGCTAAATCGTCCGAGCGGTTGACAAGGGTTGTCGCATATTTATTCCCTTGTAGGTAATTAGGGGCCTTTACAAGACAGTTCCATACAGATCAGATTCTAATGTTTGTCGTTTGAGGGTTCACAAGGTTCTACAAACTGAAACAAGGGCCTCAACTCTGGAAGTAGTCTACAGAAATTATTGAAACAATGACATGCTTTTTTGTTTTACTAATTTAAATAATGCATATAAATTTCATACAGATCAGATGATCACTTTTGTCATTCAAACGTTCACAAGGTTCACAAAGTAAAACAAGGGCATAACTCTAGAAATTATTGACGGAAATTGCTGAAATCCAATAGACCTCAGTTTCACAAATTTAAATGATGCATATAAATTTCATCAATCGAGCATTAACAAGGTTGAACAAAGTGAAACAAGGGCCATAACTCTAGAAGTAATTATTATAAATTGCTGAAATTCAATGGGCTTTGTGGTTTCACTAATTTAAATAATGTATATAAATTTCACAAAGATCGGCCTTAGAGCGTTCACAAGGTTCAATAAAGAGAAACGAGACATAATTCTAGACATAATAAACGAAAATTGCTGAAATTCAATAGGATTATTCTGTTTACTAACTTAAATGGCACATATAAATTTCATACAGATCGGCAGATGACTTTAGAGGTTAGAGCGTTCACAAAGTGAAACAAGAGCCACAACTCTTAGAAGTAAAAAAAATGGAAATTGCTGAAATTCAATAGGATTCTTCTCTTTACTAATTTAAACGACACATGTAAATTTCATACAGATCGGCAGATAACTTTTGATGTTAGAGCGTTACCAAGGTGCAAAAAAGTGAAACAAGGGCCATAACTCTAGAAGTAAATGACAAAAATTTCTGAAATTCAATTAGCTTCTTGTTTCACAAATTTAAATCACGCATATAAATTTCACAAAGATCAGGTGATAACTTTCGGCGTTAGAGCGTTCACAAGGTTCAATAAAGTGAATCAAGGGCCATAACTCTAGACATAATAAACGGAAATTCCTTAATTTAAATAATGCACATAAATTTCAGAAAGATCGATTGATAATTTTTGGCATACTAGCGTTCACAAGGTTTAACAGTGAAACAAGGGCCATAACTGTAGACGTAATGAACAGAAATTATTGAAATTAAATAGGCTTCTTCATCTCACTAATGTAAACCACAGGGGCGACAGCAATATACA